GTTCATCTTGGAGTCAATGATGACTCCAAGATCCTTTTCCACTTCTGCACTGACAAGAAGGGAGTTCCCTAGCCTGTAGGTATGGTGCCGGTTGTTCCTCCCCAGGTGCATCACTTTGCACTTGTCGGTGTTGAATCCCATCCTGTTTTCGTCCGCCCACCATTGTAACCTGTGTAGGTCTGATTGTAGCCTATTCCTCCCTTCTAGCATGCCCACAGCTCTCCCACATCTTAGTGTCATCAGCAAATTTGAACAGGGTGCTTTTTACCCCTTTGTCCAAGTCGCTGATGAAGCTGTTGAACAGTGCGGGCTTGAAAGAATCTTGGAAAAACAGGGCAGGAAGAGACCTTAGGAGGTCATCTAGTTCTTACTCAGAGCAGGATCATCTATCACTAAACCATTTCATCCAAGTGTTTGTCTTAGTTTGTGCAGTGGCTTCATGGATGAGTTTGGTGCACGCATCTCATAGCAAAGGCACAGTATAGAAGTAACCATGAAGATGCCTGTGAAAGAAACGCCGGGGAGAATGGAGAAGAGTTGAGGCTAGTGTCACAAGCCCCATTAGTTTTTGCCACTTTGGGTTTCCACTGTAGTGCATTTAGTTTAACAGAGACAGCGTCCATTGAGATTCACAGGATCATAGGAAGGTAGGGCTAGAAGGGAGCTCATGAGATCATCTACTGCAGGCCCATGCTCAAGGCAGGATCATCCGTGACTAGTCAAGTTGCTGTTTTCCACCATCTAACAGAAAATCTGTATACGTTATTTCTGTTACCGTTACCTGTTTTACTTGGGCTTTGGCTGTGAATATATTTTAAGGTTGTAAAGAGCTGATGATGGAAATAAAGTTGAAAGCATGTAGTGGCAGGAAAGCAATGTCTAATTAGTTGGAAACCTATTAAAGGGGAAACCTGTGATTATTCTGTAGAGCAGTGAACAGGAACAGGCTTGGGGGAACATTTGAGTTCTTGATATAATTGTGTTATGCTGCTTCCTTATATAAGAAGCTTTGCAGGGAGATGACCATCATTCCACACCTGTTTTCTAGCCCTCTAAGCTGTAATATTGTCCTTGAAATCCTGCATCCCTCTCTGCCACAGATTTGGTTTAGAATTGTGGCTGACTCTACAGTAACTTCTGTAACACATCATCAAGCCTGTGCGAGTTCAGCTCACTGGAGGTGATAACGGTGTCAATGTTTCATTTGCAACTGAATAAGCTTCATCTTGCTGACATTCCTGGAATAATGGTAGCTATCATGGACAAGGTCCACACAGAATATGTGGAGACTGTCTTCACAGATCCTGTTCTCTGTTTATACTGGCTTTGGAGTTTGCCTTCCTGTAGTATTATTCAGCATCACATAGTCAGTTTAAAAGTGAACTGGGAAAACTTCTCTCTAACTGCTGAGATACTGGAGTGCTAGTGAGAGGTGCTTTACATCTTTCACTGAGAATAAGGTGAGAGGCCAAAAGGGTACCTTCTGAATAGGAGTTCAGTCCTGTCTCTCCAGGCATAATAGAAGTGTGCATAGTGCTTACGGTTCATTGTTTCCTTTCGGACTGTATTATTTATTTGAAATGAAAAAGGTCAAGGGTTTTGTAACACTGCCATTTACAAGGCAGAGGGAAAATAATTTGAATAGCAGTGCCTGGAATGAAATTGTTAGAGGTGACGTGGTGAATCACAGTAACAGACCTTTAGCTGAGCCCATGTGGAGCAGACGGATGGAACTTGAAAGCAACTTTTGTGGTGAGCACAAGTTGTGTTCACAATGACTGGGTCTTTACTGACCATCGTAAAGCTTCCCACTGTTGTACTACCACTGCTGCAGCTCTAGCAGTGGTGGGTACTCTGGTCCAGTGAAATTGCTGTTGGCCACCATCATCTTCATTGCTGAGACAAGATCCTTGATTGATTTGGTGTTAACACTGCAGCTGCCAGTGTGCCGTGCTGCCAAGCTGAACCAATGACAGTGCAGGGATAAAATAATGGCATATAACATAGATGAGATACTGATTTCCTGTGCTTGCCTCAAGGCCTCTTTTGCTAAGCGTATCCTGGGGTTTACTTGGAAGAGTGAAACTTTCAAATGCTGATTGGTAAACATCCAAATGTTGTTTGTTGTGTTTTTCAGTGGCAGCATGGAACCAGCCTTTCACAGAGGAGATCTCTTGTTTTTAACCAACCGAATTGAAGATCCCATCAGGGTGGGAGAAATTGTCGTCTTTAGGATAGAAGGAAGGGAAATTCCAATAGTTCATCGAGTATTGAAAATTCACGAAAAGTATGTCTAAAACCCAGGTGGTTGTATTACAGATATCTGCAGCTTTGCTTATCCCACAGGATGGTATGGTCTCAGAAGGGAAACCCCCAGGGGAAATCCAGTACTGCAGGAAGCCATGATAAAGGTGCTTACCAAGTGTTCTGGCAGGGTGTCAGGGAGCTGGAAGGGACCTTTGCCCAGATCACTTTCCACCAGGTCCTGACAACTTGAAATAAAAATCACTGGCAGATCTTTACCACCGGCTGGGGAGTCATCTCAGGTGTCCTGACAAACCATGCAGAGTTGTGCTACCCATAATACCTCCCACAACATTCGTGTAGCAGTGTTAATTTTCTGTCCCAAACTGCAGAGTAATGTAGCTATGCTTTTACACTGCTGCTGTGTTCTTCCCCAGATGTAATTTGTATAAGAGTGGCAAGGGAAATTACTCCTATATCTGTTGAGTGAAAAGGTCTGTAAGGGTGAAAGACACTTTGTGTGTTTAGTGTGTTAATTTAAAGTTTTAATTTTTCCTTTATATTACCATTCCCCCCCCCCCCCCTTTTTT